CAATGCCAAGAACTCTGCCCTGAGTGTGAGCACTGCTGCAGCCCCTCCTTCCCCAAATGCACCTCCTGTGACTTGGCTGCACCAGGGGGAACCCGGTAAGGAACTTCCCTCTGGTTCCTCCAAGTCTTGGGGGTACAAAACAGCATTAAACGTGGGTGATGTTTTCAACCCCTCCTATTGCAGGTCAACTTACCTCCATCAGATGCAGCTCTCATGCAAACTGAGGAAGGCAAAACATCATCCCTTGGCTGCCCCTCTGCATTAAAGCAGTGCAAATCTCTCACCAAAGGAGAGGTGCATTTTGCACATTGGGTGTTGAGCTGAGCTGCCAATGCAGAGGAGCTGCAGGCCACGCTGGCAGCCCAGCATCTCCTGTGCCCTGCAGGCACTTTGCCCATAAGCGCAGCACCAGCAGTGGGTCTGCAAACTGACATCTCCAGGCTCACAGCGCTGGGCTGCGCAGTTTGTTTACGCTCCTCTGTTAGCAGTGCTATGCAGCTGAACAGCAGCTGAACACTACAACAAACCCTGCTGGCTTTCGGCTGCAGAAATGCAAAGTGAGGGAAGGGAGAGAGAGAGGAGAGGGGGACAGGGGGCAACAAACCACACACACAGAACTGTTTTTCTTTTTATTATGAAAACAAAACAGATGCCCCAGGACCAGGGTCCATTACCAGTAACATCAAAGATTACTTCCTAACTTCTGTTCTTTTAAATTCTGTTGTGTTTGAGGCCAGCAATTTGCAATAAACAAGCTAAACTACTTACATTGACTTCTTTTTTTTTTCTCTCTTCAGTAACTGACATTTACAGGAATATACTAGAAATGGCACTAAAAAGTTTTAAGAAAGAGAGTTACGGTAAATTTGCATGCACATCATACAGAAAAGTAACAGCTTTTGTTTTTAAATATTAAAAAAAAAAAAAAAAAGGAAAAAAAAAAATTACAAACAGCGAATCTTTCTGGATTGGTGATGCCAGTAGCAGGGATGAGCTCCCAGCGACCTGTGCCAAACCCTAGAGCTGCTGGTTTCTTTCTTTCTTTTAAAAATGACGTTTAAAAAGATATGCAAATACCATTTCTTATTTAAAAAAAATGCACCCCGCTGTTTTTACAAGCAGAAAATGCTGCTCGTGTAACGAATCCTCGGCCCAGGTTTGCCTGCAGTCAGCCCCAGTGGGAACTGCCCACGTGTTGGAATACATCTTAAAATCCAGCACGAAAAAGGTGGTGGTTTCTCTTTGCTGCGCCCCAATCTCTTCCCCCAAAGCTCCAACCCCAGCTTTAAAAAAACGTCGTTCCTTTCAAAACAAATCCACAACTGGTCTAAAAGTCCCCAAAACGAAGAACTAACGAGGTCACTGCAGTCTGCTCCTACCACACAGCAATGGGAACAGCCCTCACTGCTACCTGACCTGTATATATACATGCACACGTGTGCCTGTGTGCATCTGTTACAAACAGCAGCTACAGAGCCACAAACCCTGTAGGTAGGAAAGCTTGGAATCACAGCAGTGCAAAACTGACAAGGTTTGGGCAGCAGGAAGCTGCTGTACCCAACAGATTTCCTCAGTGGACAAAGCAGGGCTGAGCCCTGGGGTGGGGGGGTCTGGACACACTGAGCCTGCAGCTGATGGGCTGCCCAAAAGCAGGTTGACCTGACCATCAGAAAAAGCTCAGCCAGGTTTTAAAGGTGTAGAAATGCTGGTTGATGGGTCTGCTCCAAATAGGAATTTGTCAGAAAAACCAGTTTCAATAAAACAATAGACCTACATGTACCTATGAAATCATACTGGTTTCAGAGAGATCTCCCCTGGAAAACAAAGTTGCAAAAATTTCAGTCGTTTTTACTCTGAAGTTTAAAAACACTATTTCAAATATTATTTATACATTTGATCACTTCTCCCAAGTGATGTCAGGAGGATGCCATGAAATGTCATGCCATACCAACTCAGATGTTCTATTCTTTCAGCTTCCAACTCAATTAAGGGCAGCTGCTACTTAATATGGACTGAAAACACTTCTTTCCTGGAGAGGCTCTGATCTGCAGCTACAGAAGCATCACTAATGGCATGTTGGGAGCTAAGTGCTACAAACAATAGGAAAGTGAAAGAAATACTAGGAGCAACATTTTGCAGTGAAGTCACCACTTCTTTTTTTTCCTGGGTCAGAATGGATTTCTCCTGCAAGCTGCCATTTCGTGGGAAACATCTTCACTGCCATGAAAGCTTCTCACCCAGTGGAAGCTCAAGCCACCACCTGTGGGCTGCTCCCTGCATAGGAGCTGCTTCTGTCCACACACCATCAATGTGAGGTGATGGTTGCTAGCTCAAGTTAATGCACGTGGGAAGGGATTTCAGCAGGGAAAACCAGGAGCCTGTTTATCCATGCTGTCGTAGTACTGAAGTGGTTGCAATTACTTGAATTCAAATGCTGGTTAGTTTTGATAAAGCACATCTTAGACAATGGGTGAAACGCAGGTGGAAACCAAGCCATTATAAAAACAAACAACTAAGCTCTTAATTAGGTGTATATTACATCTCCTCAGAGTCAATTCTGAAAATATATTACTAAACATCTGCCTAGGGGAAGATTTTTTTTGTAAGGGTGGAATGAAAAAAAAAAAAATAGAGCAACTAAAAATAACTTTATTGTTAATGGAAAAATCATTCATTGCAGTAAGAATCAGAGCACCCCACAGCTCATCTGATCCCAACACGAAGGAAACTCCACCTGCAAAGACTTCCAGGGCTCCTGCCCATGGGCCCAGCACCCAGTGAGAGCACAACGACACGAGGATGCTCTCAGCAGCAGAGCATCTTTCAGCTCTCAGCTGAAAAACGGCAGCTCCTTTCTACAGCAAACTCCAGAGAGCTCGTTATTGTCACTGCACAGAGACACAGAGCCAGGGCAGCTGTGTGACCTGAATGGCAGCCAGTGGTAGACCCTTCTGGGTACAGCCAGCAAGACCTCAGTTGATGGGCACAAAGTGACTGACAGCCACTCACCTACGTGAGAAATAAACATCGGTGCAATCTGCACCACTGGAGAGCTCAGCAGGGTGAGTTTTAGGGCTGACCCACAGCAGGGATGCAGCCATAGGGGCTGGTACTGGGAGGAGGAAAGGCGTAACTTTCTGTTAAACTCTGTATATTTTCTTTACAATAAAAAGCTAAAAAGTTAAGAATTTACAATAAATTTCTGCCCCTCAGATTACAAACTTTATATAGTTACAGAACTGCTGTTTTCCTAAAACTGGATTATAAAATGAAAAAAAAATCAACACTGTTTCACAAAAAATAAAATAAAATAAAAATGGAGAAGGGGAAAGACGAGTGGAAAAAACACAGACAACAAATAAGGAGTTCCATTAAGAAATTACATCTACCTGCACGTCTTCAAAATCTGTACAAAACAAGAAAGAAGGGGCTGGATTGAAAAGAGAGAGGACAGAAAACAAAACCCAAAGTGAACACACAAGACATGACAGAGCACCAGACGCACAACAGACTGGACCGTAGCACCTGGAGGTATAAAGTCCAGCGTATTTAAATAACATCTCTGTGTTCTTTTTAAATCTGGTTTGAACCATATTAAAAGTCTGCATTTCTGCTGGTCTTATTATTTTTAGTGAGTTTAAAATGACCAATGTGTTTAATAAATAAAGTACTTCTATATACACGTGAGACAGAGAAAACGGAGTGTATTGCAGCAGTGCAGGTGAAAACATTAGGCTGACTTGTAAGAAATTGCTAGCCTTAAAAAAAACTGTCTTCCCCTCATCCTCACCCTTCCCTCCCCCCCCCTCCCCATTTTTTTTTTTCCCTTATTACTATAATTGAGGTAAACACTTCAGGATCTGGAAACCTGCACCCTGCATGACACAGAAGTAGCATTCCCTTTCTAGGAGCTCATTGCAGATACGAAGATAAAGGGTGGGAAAGAAACAAACGAAACCAAAAAACAACCAACAAAGCACACAACCAACATCCCTCTCTGAGTCCCCTGCCAGCTCAGCCTCAGCTGGAGCTCGAGTGCTCTTTTATTTTAAGCCCAGACTGAGGTGCTTGTCATGGAGAAAGTACTTAAGCATGTGTCTAATAATGAGCATATGGCTCGTCTTGGTCACTGCAGGGAGCATCCTTGAGGCCCAGCTGAGTACTTGCAGCCAGGAGATGTTTTCAATTAAAGCACAAACTTTCAGAGAGAATGTCAATTTCCTGGAAATTATCTATTTGATGTTAAAAATAACATTCCCAAGAAACTCGAGTATCCTTTGCTCCCTTCTTACCAACACATTCCCGAGGAAAAAGGAAATTTGGAGTACTAGAAATCACACATACAAATTTTTCTATTGCTCACGTGCTGAGAATTAAACTCATGCTTAAACACCTTCCTCAACAGGTGCCTATGCCTCCACCAACATTAACAAAAATGTTAGCAATCCACAGTACGTTAGATTTCTTTTTGTTTCTTCTGCTTTTATGTAAAAAAAGATGATAGCATCTGACATTTTCATCACACCGTAGACTTTGAGATTAAGAATGCTAGTGCTAATAAACAAGTACACCAACTAGTTCAAAAGCTAACATCTTTTAGATACAGTACCATTTTACAGATTTCTTTAAAGATTTTTTTTTTTCCCTTTGTGTGAGCCAGGTGGGCTGATTAAAAGAGAACAATTTGGGGAGAAGGAAGGGGCAGAAGGGAGACGTACTACAAACTCTGCAGAAACCTACTAGCCATCTCCTGCAAAGAGTTCCAAGTTCTTCCATTTTCAACCAAATTCCTTCAGTAAAAGTGTATTTTAGAGACTTTATGCAAAGGGAACTGCTTGCCATAAAGTCTAGTCACACACATGCAAAGATCTTCGACCTATTCATAAAAAAAAGCGCCCCTGAAAAATGGAAGATACCTTTTATAACACTGAATTAAAACAAACAAACAAAAAAAAACCAACAAAAAGTCAGAGAGGAAGAAAAACAAACAAACACCTGACCACCGTGGAACAAGAGCAGTACTTTAAGGAGAGAAAGGGACACTGCAGAGCATCGGTGAGGGTGATGTCCATTCTGTGTTGTTTTGTGTAAGTGTCCTTAGCTCATTCTGAATCGCTGCTGTCTGAGCTGGAGCCGCTGGAGCTGCTGCTGCCTGACTCGGAGGAGCTGCTGCTGCTGAGCCGTGAAGGGCCCCCAGAGGGAGCAGAGCCAGATTTCTCTGCGGGAAAGAAGGCAGCAAAGTGGTAACTTCCAAGGAGCTGAACTCAATAAAGAAAAAAGTTTGCCAATGGCTTTTGTCATCCACATCTTCATTCACGGCTTCGTTTTGCCTGGACAGTTTATTGACCCACTGATTTTGTTCCAGCTGGAACAATGCCCAGCCAAGGGGACAGCAGGGTTTCTAATGCTGCAGGTGGCCATGAAAGTTTGGGCCCTGCATTGGAGTCCCATGGAGGGCACTGCAGTGCTCCAATGCAGGGCCCAAACTTTCCTGGCTGCCAACAGCTGTAATGTGCTCATGGCAAGGTGGCACAGAGTGCCCAGGCAGCTGTTCTCACTGCCTGTTGTGATTCAGGGCAAGGTGGAAGCAGCTCAATCTGCACTGGAATAACCTTTCATCCCATCTTTCACGCTACTGCACTGTGAGGTGGCTTTTTCAATCCCACAATGGAGGAAAATCACCTATTAAGCATGCTGTGGTACTGGTTTGGACTATGGTACTGGTTTACTGTGATACCGTGTGAACAACCCTGCAGAGACCAACAGAGCAGCACACCTGCCTCTGAAGTTTGAATCACCTCTAGGACGGGTCCTGTTTACCACCAAGAGGAGTTTCCAGCAGGACAGGGATCAGAGCAAACCCCAAAGAGGAGCTCAGGTGCCCAGCAGTAACTTGCTGTGCCCACACCAATGACAGACTGGGGGAACTCCCATAGATAAGACTGGAGCACCTCCCCTATGAGGACAGGCTGAGGGAGCTGGGCTTGTTCAGCCTGGAGAAAAGAAGGCTGCGGGGTGAATCACTGCAGCATTTCAGTACCTAAAGGGAGCCTGAAAACAGGAGGGGAATCAACTCTTTGAAAGGGCAGATAACTGCAGGATGAGGGGAAACAGTTTGAATTTGAGGGAGGGGAGATTTAGGTTGGATGGCAGGGGGAAGTTCTCCACAGAGAGAGCGGTGAGGTGCTGGAACAGCTGCCCAGAGAGGCTGTGGATGCCCCGTCCATCCCTGGAGGTGTTCAAGGCCAGGTTGGATGGGGCCCTGGGCAGCCTGGTCTAGAATTAAATGGGGAGGTTGGTGGCCCTGCATGTGGCAGGGGGTTGGAACTTCATGATCCTTGAGGTCCCTTCCAACCCAGGCCATTCTGTGATAAGCCCAAGACTACACAAAGGCAGTAGGTTTGCCTTAGTGAAGACGACTGCCTGCACACACAACTTTTCAGGCATCAGCAGCACAGCAGAACCACAGCCATTACCTTTCTTTGCAGGTTTCTTGTTGTTGTTTAACTGCCCACTGACATCCTGTAGCCGTTTTTCTAGTTCTTTCTTCTTTTCCTGAGCTAACTCCTCTTTAGACTTTGCTGCTTGCTTTTTTCCACTTGCAGCTGTGGAAGAGGAACATACAATTTCTGAAACCATATTGTTGAGGGTGAAGAAAAGAATGAAAGAATGGACATCGCTATTTTACAGGGCACGTAAGTCTGTGCAAAGGCTTTGCAGTGAAGCTGCTAAGATCAAGTGACCACGTAGCAACTACACATCTCAGATAAAGGACAACACATGAAGCTGCCTAGATCAGTCACCATCATCCTGTAACACACACTTTTTGAGAGAGACCTTCTGGAAAGTGTTTTAGAAGATGGAAATATCCATGTAATAACCTTGTGGTCACAGGTTACTTACCAGCTAGTTTTATGGTCAATAGTTACACATTTGTTATTACAGAATTTTACATGGGTTTTCTGCCCTGTAAAATAGAGTGTCCCATTAAATGTTGTCAGGAGGAAGCAGCTGCCATTAGAACTCAAGACACCTCACATGAGAATTGATTGCTTTAAGTTGCTTTAAATATAAAACAAAAGCAGAAATTAAAAACCAGCAAAGGCTGGCAGACAACAGGAATGTAGCTGCCTCGGTCAGGACGGAAATGGAGAGGAGTAGCAGCAGTGCTAATGCTTCTGAGCAGAAGAAATATCACTCACAAGAGTAATTGAACACAGGTGTTGGCCAGTATCAGAAGCAGACGGGAGCCAGATATTTTGCCTGATCCAGCAAGGAAATGCCTATATTTCTGCACACTGCTTTCAAGCAACTTTTTTTTTTTTTTTCCTTTATATGGAAACTGGAAAGCAAAGTCCTAAGAGGGTGCCTGTGAACACTGAGCACCACAATAGGCAGCAGAGAGCAGGAGGGTGTGGGGAAGGTCGTGCATCAGCGTGGTGCCTGCTGACCAAGCACACCAGCTCAGGGCATACTGGGCTCAGAGCAGTGGACAGACAGACATCTGAGGCCATGTGTTACTCCAAAGCAAAAGGATGCTTCTAGTTCTTAGAACTCTGGAAAATGCTTTCCTCAGCTACTCCAGAATTAAAGGACTTGGGGGGGAAAGAAGAAATCAAACCAGTGTAGTAAAAAAGCAAAAAGAAGGGTCAAAGCCTGAGCTTTGCTCAGATGACCTAGAAGTCCTGTGGTACCAAAACAGAGGTGCTCTGCATGAGTTGTGAGTAGCTTCTGTGTTATATTCTTACCAGAACAACTTCCCTCTTAACCTATAAGCAGACAGGCTGACCAGCACCACCTCAGCTAAGTGACATGCAACAGCTATTTGGCTGGGGCTCAGTTCTCAAGGGGCTACAATTCACTCTGTGGTTGAAGCACAGAAAAGCCTGTACCATACTGCACAGTACATGCACCTCCTTATCTCCTCCTTATCACATTATGATATGGTAAGCAGGGCAGGTAGGACTAGCAGTTTTGTGGCAAGCATACAACTCGGACACATCCAGAATCCTTAGCTTACCCAAGTAAATGTGTGCAATTCATTCATTTCTTTGGTCGTTTGGGATTCAAACGACACTTCCTTCCTTCTTAATTAGATGATAAACTACTCAGGGTAAGAAACTGATCCTTCCACATATATGCATGTTACGCACAACATAATGAGACTGAAACTGCATTGCTTGTCTAGAATGTAGAAGGCACTAAAGACATCACACAGGTCTTGCAGAGGAATACAGTGATCCCTCCAAGTCTCCATGTGAGGGCCATATATGAAGAAAAAAACACCCAAAATTCTGCTATTTTCTCAGGTAGAAAAAAAAATCTCTAAAAATCCCAGTCATCGCATACCCACAAGATGAGAATCCCAACACACATGCCCTGAGTCCAAAGCTGAGCCCAAGGGCTCGTGAAGGAATGCGTGCCCCAAGAGGTAACTTACAAAATGGTTTCCTTTGTTTTTTCTGTAAACAAGATTTCACGTATCTCTCCAGTTCTCGCAAAGTTGTGGGCTTCAAGGTTTCAAAATCTATTTCTATCTCATCAGGATTGGAGTCCCTGAGGGAAGGTTCTCGTGACTGGATGATGTGCACCACTCTGCCCAGCTTCTCCCCAGGCAGGCGGTTGATGTCCAAGCTGAGCTGTCGTTTCTCATCATAGGTCATGGGCAGGCCTTCCTCCTCCTCATCCGAATCATAGGTTGCAGATGCCTGTTTTCCTCCTTTCTTGGGCTGCCTGGGGAGATTGGCAAACATGGAAACATTCATGGGTATATAAGGAGCAATGAACTCTTTCTTCTACTCCCCTGTAACAAACACCCCAATGCTTTTGGCTTTGAACCTCTAGCCAGATAGCTTGAACAGCACCACAACTTTTGAAAAAGTTCAGAAATTTGAGATAAGCTGTTCTACTCCAATTATATTTTAGTGCTGAGAGACATGACAACAAGCCGAAGAAGCAGCAGGGGAGCAGAAACAAAACAGCATGTTATTGCTGGCTGGGTAAAAAGGCTAAACCTTATCTGAGAACAACTGGGCAGGGATTCTGAAAGAGTCAGAGAGTGGAAATGTGATGGCTGTGCTGCCAACCCTAACTTGAAAACTCCCAGAAGCTGTCTGTAATGGAGACACTGTTCGATGCTGACAACTGAGCTTCACCAGGGAACAACAGAACAGGAGGGACAGAACTGGGCTGAGAGCTCTTTGTGTTCCCACTTAAGGGAATTTGCAGGAGACAAGCTCTCACCTGCTAGCTGTGGTCGTGCTGTTTGCCTTTTTAGCTGGGGCTTTCTTCTGCTGGGTTTGCTTTGGTGGTTGAGACACCTTAGGCTTCTTCTCCTCCTCAGCTTTTACTTTGTGCTTTTCCTTTTCCTTCTCTTTGTCTTTCTTTTTCTTCTCTTTTTCCTTCTTCTCTTTTTTTTTCTTTGGTTTGTTCACTGGTGCTTGTGACAACGCAGCTAGCTGCTCATGGACTGCCTTTAGCTGGAAGAGAATAGTGAAAAAATAAATCAGACTTCAAGGCAAGATGATTGATGCCTCCACATACTCTTCCCTCCACGTCCTGGACATGCAAGCATATCTTAAAGTTAGTGAGCCTAAGACTGAACTTAGAAAACTCTGATTTGAAGTTCTTTAAAGAATGCAGTGCAGCTGTGCAGAAGCTAACTGATGTGAAAACTTAATTCTTGCCTCATAAGAGGCAAATAAAATACTTAATAGCTTTGTCTAGAGTGCTGACAATGTGGGCTCTGAAATGCTAGGTTTACTTCCTAAGTTTCCTACTACCTCTGAGACACTGGATAAGGTACTTTATTAATGCTTGGTTATATTACAGCAGCACACGCAACCACTATAGCAACTTGCACTGTCCATGTGCATAATAAGAAAAGCTATGGCTTATGGTCTTGCAACCACAGCAGTCAAAATAACTTATTCTATGGAGTACACAGTGAAAACTTCTCACAGGAAGCTTGTGACAGATTTTGTTGTGCTTGAGCTCTCATACTAAATGGATCTCTCAGTGCTTCCCAGACTCCTCCTGTTGATGGTGGCAGAATACTCTGGGATGCCCAGAAAGAAGCCCAGAGCATCAGCACTGAGAATGGTTATCTCAAAGAAAATTAACATTGGATCAAAAATGCACTAATTATTTCCCTGCTGAGAGCTTTCCTCTTTGAGCTGGCAGGAGGAGTGATCTCCCTGCTGCATCTCAGGCTAGCTGGGATTTTTAAAAACAAAATTAAATCCTCCTTCCTGCTAAGCCTTTTCTACTGCAGACACACAGCTTGGCCACTACAGTAACCTGCTCCTGGAGCTCTGCCAGCCGAGTTGCTCGCTCTTCTTCGGAGTCTGAGCTGTCTGAGTCAGAAGAGCTCTCCTCACTGCTGTGGCTGCTCTCTGTGCTTTTGCTCACAACTGGTGCTGTTGGAGGAGGAGGAGGAGGGGCCTCCGCAGGCTCGTCGGGCATCTTTGCAAACCTCATCTCAAAGACATCCTACAAGAAAGAGGGAAAAATTGGTGACGAAGGAGCCTCACCCACAAAGATCTCATTCTGGTCTTTCAAACACAGCAGACACATTGCCATAGATCAGGGTCTTACTAAATAAGACCCTGCACTAAATAAGGTGCTGTAATAATGAAAGATGATGAGCACTCCAGAACGTGGACTGAAATCATCATAGTAAGAGATAGGGGAGCTATCTTTTGAGGGGCAAAGCTCAAGGCTTACCCAAGAGATGGCAGGGGAAGTTTTCTGAATCTCCACGTTTTGTGGCCCAAGAAAGCATTCCCATTATTCTATATGCCAATGACTGTAAAATTTTAAGAGTGGGATGTGGCACTGGGCTATGCCATGTGCAGAGCATGACATTTCTGCAGCAGAGGGCATGAAAAGGCTCTTTTCAAGGGCTGAAGGAATCACTGACTCACCCTTGATGATGCCAAGAGCAGATCCATGCTTGGATCTCTGAATGGACACCTCATAGCTGAGCTAAACAGACCCTGAAAGATGCATTTAGCTACACCTTTACCTGGAGCTTCCTGGCCATGGCTACCACTTCGTGGTCTGGAGGATTGTACTTGTAACAATTAGAGAACATTAACCGAATATCTGCTGCAAAACCTTGTGCATCCTGGTATTCCCGACTGTCCATCTTTTTCTGCAAGCAAACAAGCCAAAGGAGAAGGGGAGATAAAGCCATAAACAAAAGACATTTGTAACAATTGCATGGAGGACACGTGCGTCATGGAGAGAGCTCAGAACAGCTTCAAAAATCACATTTCTCTAAGAGAACAGGAGTTTGATCAGTTTCCAAATAACATTTAGAGTCGCTGCTTTTTAAAAAAAAAAAATAAACAAAAACCAGACAACTAAAGCTAATATAATTCCACAATAGTTTAAATTCTCAGAATTCTAAATTTGGGTTATTTTCTTTGTTTTTAAACAATACTATGCAAGTTTGTCAGTGCCCACAGTTTGTTAGAGAGCCATTTAGAGAATGTTTACTAGACCAGAAACTAATGTAAGTAAAGCAAAGGACAAAAGGACAAGAAGTCAGAGTTACAACTAAAGGAGTCCCTCAGCATGAATTTCTACATGCTGCTTGGGTATGTTTACTGCATAAATCTGAAAAGGCAGAAAAGATGGTTAGGCACCCAGTCTGCCTAACACAAAGCATCATTTCTCTTGGTGATGTCTACAGCCAGACAGGCACTTAGACTTCAGCTACAAAACCAACTCTTGATTTAATAAAGCCCAACTGAGAGATACAGAATGGATACAGAATTTGCCCTTTATGAATCTGTGCCTAATGTTATTTTCCCACTGTAGTGAGGGTAAGTATCAGGGCTAAATATTTGCACCTTGATCCTCTCATTTTCCAGCTCTCACCTTCATGCACTTCTCTTGCTGGCTGGGACTGAATGACTTGGTTTAGAAAACAATTCACAGCATTCCTCGTACTTAATTGATTTTATGCATGTATTACTACCACATATACAATCTTAGCTCCAATTACTCCTTCCAAAAGGAAATTTAAAAAAGGTTAACACTAGATTTCATTTGCATTTTAAAGAGATTAAAGAAACTCATTGCTTGCAGGCCTCCCTTTTGTATGCCTCATGCATCTGCATCCCCCAGTGATGGGAAGGGGCTGCCTGACAGACAGGCTGCAGATGGGATGGACAGATTCATCCTCCATCACAGCAGAAGGCTCAGGGTCTGCAGCTCACACCTAAAGTCTCAACCCAAGCAAAACTCCCACTTGCCCAATGGAAGCAACAGACATTTCACAGCTCCACCGTAGATACTGGAAACACCTTGAATCATTGCAACGAGTGCTGAAGCTGCTCTGGTTCAGAATAAAGCAGAATTTCACCTCTGGGGATGCAGCTCTGGAGGGGTGTGCAGGCAGGGCAGTGACACTCCTGCAGCATCTCACCTCACTGTACCACAGCAAGATGCCTGTCAAACTTGTGTCACGAGAGCTCATTTCCTTGATAAAATAAAGGAGAATCCTCTGAACCGCAGCACAGAGATGGAAAGGGAATCACGTCTGTGCCTCTCCTGTCTGAAGCAGTGCTGGCCTTGTTTGCAAAGCATCTCAGGCCAATTCCAAAGCAAAACAATACGTTCAAACGAAAGGGGCCATTTATTCTAAAATACATCTTTCTTCACGAAAGGCCTTTTTGATACGCTGCATTTGTTTGGCACGCTCAACAGCTGATTACAGCCTGTGAAATACATTTCAGCATCTAAGGCTTTGCTTTCATCCAAAACCAACAGTTTCATAGCCCAACAACATTTTAATCTGTGGATTTTTTTTTTTTTTTTTTTGCCTTCTTGTAAAGAAAAATTAACTTGATAAAAGAAAACGGGTTTTAAAGTTATGCAACAAAATATATTTGGGCTATAAACTCATTTTGAGATATTCAGCTGTTTAACAATTTTTTTTTTCCCCCCACATTTACAATGGCAAATCAGAAATCATAGAGAGCAGGACTGGAAGGCTGGGAAGGCAGCTAGAAAAATCTTATTTCTCTCAGCAATCAATTGTATTGTTCAGTATCCTTTAATGTTCAGAAATGTTTCCTAATGCCTAGACTCTGCTGCTTTAAAATAAGCCTTGTCCTGCCCACAAAGGATGAAGAGCAAACATTGTTCCCACCCTTCCTGCATCAATCTTTTACAAGTTTGAAGGCCTAATACAGCCCCTTTTCATCTTCTCCAAGGACCTCACAGCACAGCAAAATGGAAACCTGGGGTCTTCCTCTCTCAGCAAAATATCAGTGAGGCACGAGTGCTCCAGCTTCCCAAACTACTGCGTTCAACTCAGCCCTAATCCCACCTTCTCACCACTTGTTTCAGGCTCCCACTTCTTGCCTGCAGCTCAACTCACCCTTCTTACTCTCATCTCCTCCAAGGAAAATGCTGCAGGCCTTTAGCAAAGCTTGGGTAAAACCCAATCAATAATAATCAGGACTTAGATAACAGCTTCCAGACATCTGCTCTCACAACAGCCCTGCGAGGCAGGTTAAGCATTAGTCTCTCCGTTTTATGGTTGGAAAAACAAAGGCACAGAGCCGTGGGGGAACTTGCCAAAGACCATGGCATCAGGGCAATTAATAACTCAGACACCAACTCTTTATCTAGTCCTCAGCACAGACCGTGATGACTATTCTCTCACCACCTTCAAACAGAGAAGCTGCAGTAAGAACCACAGCAGCACCACTGCCAAATGGCACAGCACACCAGAGCACTGCACAATGCTTGCCAAGGAACACAGAAGGAACCAGGAGTCAGCCAGGCCTCTGAGACAGTCCCACACAGTGGCCAAGTTGGATGCACAGCTCGTCCTGGCATGCTCCTGAAAGCCAGCAAACACACCTTAACTTTCTGCACGCAGAAGGGAGTCTCACCTCCACCAACACCGATTCCAATGGACAAGCATAAGATGGGAACCAGAGTAACACAGCTGTTCTCCACAGATATTCAGAAGGAACTCAGAGAGAAACTTCCCAGTCTTCTGAGAAAAACATATTGAATATTGGACCACACTAAGCTAAGGTCCTGAAGAGCAAAGCTTGAACCACATAAGCATCGCATCATTTCCTCCCCTCACCTAAGCACCAGTTGATCTTCACGTTCCAGCTGGAATTGCTCAGTGTAAGCCTATCTAGACCAACATCATGCCAACAAGTAGCCAGGCAGCAGCTTCTGGAAATGGGATACTATCAATTGAATCCTATGAAATACAGCACCTCTTCTTCTGAGTGCAACATAATCCCAATGACACGAGTTTAAACAGCTGGACTATTCACAAAGAGGAGAGGATGCCATACAGCCTGCTTTGTAGGGCAGAAAAAAGACATCCCAGGTCACGGGGAAAAAAAAAAAAAAGGAGAGGGTAAGGAAACAAAATATAAAAATATCCAGATAACATCCAAAATGGTTTTCATTTTCCACCCTTGTCCCTTCCCTCCCCCACCAGAAGGAGTCAGTCCTCTGCAACCAGAGGGCTGAGATATCCTGCAAAAGAGGTGGTAAGTGTAGACGTACTTTAACAGTACTGAGATCCATGGGGTGTTTGATAATATCGTGATAGTCATGTAATTCCAAGGCCTCTGCATCCACGGGCTTGTAAAAGGGCCACGCATAGGCTGCATGCTTCTTCGAAAGCATCTCCTTGAGAATGCTGTCACAGTACTTGAGGTGCTCAGACAGTTTGCCCTTCTTTCCTGCGTGCTGGGGGACCTCTCCGTCCTCAAGGTCTTTCTTTGGTGGTTTGATGGGCCGGCCGCCGCTCTCCCGCCGAGCGATGATTTTGGCCTGTTTGGGGTCTGAGAGGGGCGTGGGGGACTCGCTCCTGCTGGCAGTGATCACAGAGGTGGTGGGGGTGGTCGTGTCTGCTTTCCGCTTCACTCCCTTTTTCTGAAAGGGCAAAATGGGGAGAGCTGATGAGTGCAAGCCCGGTTCTCACACCGACCTAGCAGAAACCTAGCACGATTCATCCTCATTGCTGAGATCTGCCTGTCCTCTGACAGAAAACGTGATCGTTTCACTGGGATGAATGGGACTTGTGACTAGAGGCTGCAACGCGCAATTCAGTGACGACGGCATGATGCATTACTGCATGTCATCTGAGCCACAGTAACCAGCCATCTGCACATCTCCAACCCAACCCCAAACAGGATGCAAAACACGTAAGCTCTATATATTTCACTGAGATTTAAACTAAGGACTCTTACCTCATGTTTGCCAAAGGAAAGGAGTGCGCCCAGTCGATTACTGCAGCTCAGCTGATGCATGGTGACTTAGTAAGTGTCAGTAACTTAACCACATGTCTGAGTCCCCAGTGGCAGGATCAGGCTATAAGTTCTGAACCAAAGCATATTAATCACCAAAGACCTATGAGCCTTCACTCCCTTTTACTTAGTGAATGTGCTAAGGTAGATTGTTATGGACAAGAGTTAAGAGTTTAATGATTTTGCTTCGAGCAAATGAAACACACATCCCACGTTAATTCGAGCTGTTACTGTTCAGTCAGTTCTTTCTTTTGCTCCTATGAAGGAGCATTTCTGGAGGAAACAAAAAAAGGAAAAAAATAAAATAAAATGGTCCCCAAGGAAATCTAAGGCAAGTCTTAAGTAAATCCCAAGCAGGATTATCTTTGCAGTACATATTTGCATATTTTCACTTTTGGGTTCATCCTTCAGTTTTAAAACTAAAGTGATTCTCAGAAGGAAATTATTTGGTCAGACACTGTTACGAAACAGGCTTCTGAGGAGGACAGCATTGCTGCGAGATCAGATTTACAACATCCTTAAGTAATTCCCAGCCTGTAGGGTGAAATAAGGAAAAAAAAAATTCCGTGGCTCTACTGGCCCACGCAACCTCAAATCAGGAATGCCAATGCTTCTGCACTTAAATTCTTATTTTAGAGTAAAAAAATGTTACCTAAACTATGTTTTATCTCTTTTTAAAGTAATATACAGCTTGCTAGGAAAATTCCAATTATTTAAAGCAACATTTTCACTTACATGTAAATTAACATAGCAAAACACCTTTTGACACCTCCCAGAAGGTTACTCAGTAAGGAAGACAAAATTAATGTACCCAAAACCTGCAGGCAACACCAATCTCCTCCAGCTGGAGTGACAGGCTTGTCTTGAACTGGTTTACAGCAGAAAGAAACACTCCTCGTGCTGGAGTGTGCAAATCTTAAAGGAACAGTCCCAGGAAAAAAATCAGAGATTCAGTTGGAGGGAAAAGATGCTTTGGGTAACATAGACCAAAATGGGAGAAATCTCCAATAGCCTTCTGATTCATGAAGCATCAGCACTGGCTAAGGCTATGGTCAGATAAGAGCTTGTAATTGAGTTGGAGCAATTACAGTCAACACCACCTGAGTTGGGGTGTGGTAAAACTGGCAAAACTTTGCCCAACCCAACAGCAAGCACTCATCTGAGCACATCCCAAAGGGACAACGATGGCCAGAGAAGCAAGGAGTCAAATGCAAAGAGAAATACTGCACGTAACCAGCAGCGAGGGGATGAAATTAAAGCACTGCTTAGCAATATTGCTTTGTGAAGAGGAAGAGATTCAAGCTCTGTTTACCTTGACTACCGGCGGCGTAGGAGGAACCACAGGCATTATTGGAGCAGCAGGAGGAGGGGGAGCGGCGGCAGGGGGGGCAGTGACAGGTGGGACATTAGCAGTGATGGTTGGCACAGGGGTGGCAGCGATGACCGGTGTCTGGGACACGGCTGGAGGGACGCTCTGGAACGGGGCCGGCGGGGAGACAGAAGACACGGCCACTGCTTGCTGTGCTCCTTTCAAAGGACAAAGTGAAAACACGTTGTGACGTACCGATGGTTACAAGTGCTGACATGATATGGGGAACAAAGTGACAGTGGTGCTGCTGTACTGGGCAGTCAGGGGCTTGGCAAAATTGGTCCCCAATTCAAGGCCATAGGAGGAGCAGATAGGACACTGAGTGAGATTTGCCTGCTGCTGTTACTCAGGGTCCAACAAGAACTGGAGAATCAATCACTGACCTGAGTCTTCCTATCATGAGCTGCAGGCCAGCCTGCAAGCAAAAAACGCACCACACCTACGCATGTCTACCTCCCTCAGCTCTCTTTGCCTTGGTTTCTTCTTTGCATACAGAAAGCAACAGCACTGCCCTCCCCCAGTGATGTATCCATCTGCACAGCACATCACAGACACTCGTGTGACAAACAGAGAGTGGCAGTAAGACAGACAAGGTCTGGAACACTGGGTGTTGGTTATCTAGCCATCTCTCACTCCACTGCTCTGTTGGACTGCACAAGTCCTTCCCCAGTCTCCTCACCATCTGCAAAATCACGCAGCTTGGAACACGGGTCAGAACTTAGCAACAGGCTTGTAACATTTACTGACACCAGATCAGGGAAATACCTGCACTCTGTGTGCCCACTGATGGTTTACGACCTTTGCCTTTAGGAACTGGGGGTAATAATTCGACTTCCTCCTGAGGCATCTGAGCAACCTTCTGCAGAAATATCTTCTCAAGGGCTTGGGCCATAAGGACGATGTCATCTGTGGGCTGCAGGAAGAAGACAAGCCTGAGCTGTGTCATCCACACATCAGAAAAAGATCACACTTCGAAATCCCCAATGACGCTGCCCTTCAAATAAGTGATGGTGTCCAATGCCCTGACAATAAACAGATCAGCTCTTTTCTCTCCTTGCATGCAGCTCTCCTGCTCTTCTAATCTAGTCTAGATTGTAATAATCACAGCCTTTAAATGCACTGCATCCAGAGAGTATCAGGACTTCCACCAGAAGCCCAATAACTAGCATCAGTGTGGAAGCAGAAAACTGGAACAGATGAGCCATCCTCCCTCCTTTCCAACAGGTCCTAGAGAAGAGTGCAAACATATAGCCTGTGGTTCAAACTAATTAATTTGTTTATTTCAACTTGCTTTCCAGCATGGGTCAATGATGACAAACCATTGCAACAAACAAATACCAGCTTTTAACAACCTAACAAAGTAGCAAATAAGACAAATCCAAAACAATAATATGCAATTTAAAGATGTGTAAGTATGAATGAGATACAGCAGAGGACGGAGTTATGCAGCTTACTGAACTGCTCTCTGCAGGAGACGGTGTTTACTGCTAGACAACTAGTGCAACACAGCATTAATAGCCCACAAAAGACCTGCAGAGTATTACACAAACTTCAGCTCATCCTGAAGAACTCCTAAATGAAAATAAAAGGAATCAAAAACTTGCTATGCAACTCCAAAACAGAAATATGCATATAATTTCAAGGCACAATTGCCATTTTAACAACTGCAAGGGAAGAAAGATATGGCAGAAAGACAGCTCTGTGCATGTCAAGTAATGCAGTTCCAACTGGCAGCATCTTGAACCCTTGCAAGGAGGGCCTGAAGCACAGAAGAGATGCCCTGTTTAAAACTTGTGCTGTAACAACTGTGTTTTTTTCCTAGGCAGTGCCCCAGCTAAGTGCTTGTCTAGGCTTTTTACCTTGTTATAAATATAACAATTTGTAAACATGGTGTTGAAATCCTGCATACATTCACTGGCACTCCAGTAATAGTTATGTTCCAGGCGTTTCTTGATAGTCCCCATGTCCATGGGGTTTTTTATTATTTTGTGATAATCCTGTTGGAGAAACAGGGAAGATGTTACATCTCCTGACACGAGAAAAAAAATGCACTCACATCTCTCTCTACTCCCAGCTTTCTCCTCACACCCCCTCCCCAAAACACACATCCCCATGTTTCTGTGCAAAATGCAAATACCATTTTTACTTCTATTTTTTAATTCACAGCCTATCATTACTATGAACTTAATTACAAAGCATCAGAACCCCCTCTGTAACAGCCAGCATTTCCCAGCTCCCCCAGTACATACTCACATACAAATGCCAACTTGGACACGACCAGCTTTGTGTAAGGACAGCTGAGCAGGGAAGGTAGTAACAGCAGTATGTGGAAGAAAACATGCATTCTGAGCAGCTCTCCCTTAAGCTGTTTGCAGCCTCAAACCCTTTAGTGAGGCTGTATGTGGTTCAGATGATGAAGGCTGGCACACTTTAAAGCCAGCTAACACCGCAGTGATGCGATTCACACTCACATAGGACCAGAAGCAGGGGTAACAGGGATAGCACTAACTTCGGCTGGCTGTTCAGTTTAACTGGGGACTGGCAGCAATTTGGGAAACAGCATTCCTGCCTGCCTTACTATAAGACTGTCTTTAGACACTCAGCACTTCCAGAAGTTTATCAGTGGCATCACTGGCTAAAGACTGCGCTGAAATTTCCAACGACTCTCTTGAAATTGCCTCCAAAGGATTCCATGTGTTAACCTAGTTTCTCTCTGGGCTGGACTCAAGCATTTGCAGAGGCTGTGATTAGTCTGGAGACACTCTAGGCACGCGAGGTTATATGCTGTAATTTTCTCATTGCGAAGCGAGGCAGCAGTGCCTCTCACTGCATGTGAACATGAAGCCACACACAGCCCCTGGCCACTCTCTGGAGCAACCTGAGAAACCCTTTTTTTTTTCCAGGCAAGGCACACTAGGACAGAAAAGGCAATCCTGTCGGTTACTGGGCTTGTGCAGATCTGATTTAGACCACATGTGAAAAACAATTATTCTTCCAACTCACTCCTCCTTCAAATTTTCTGGTAACCTGCCCTAAAACCACTTCAAAACGCCTCGCTGAGAAACAAAATCCACAGAAAGATGACACAAAAGAGCAAAGCCCAAGTGAAATCTTACACACGTGGCGTTTCACTCTTTTGCCTAGCACTTTAAATAGTGCCTATCAACAAGATTACTGAGTTCAGAAGACTCCTGACCCAGTCCATAAAATCAGGTCATAACCTGCAGTAACTAGAGCTCTGCAGATCTCACATCCCAGAGCCTGGCTCTCTTGAATCCTACATGCAATCCTCCTGTTCAAAGCAGTCAGAATAAATTTGCAGTGGCCTGCCTGGAGGAATGGGCAGTAGGGCAGATGGGGGGCACTGTGTTTAATTTGAGAGGTGGGCAGGGGCTTGCCTGCACTGCTGAGATTTTTACATCCACAGGACCACTTTGAAGAGGTAAATGTTGAGTGGTTCTGTTCACTGGAAGAAAGCTTATTAGAAAACTTTGTTCATTCATGAATAACCTGGCTGTCTCGTAATCTCTGGTCTGACACAGTCAGGATATACATAATTAAGTCCAGGAGGCAAATAGATAAATGCAACTGTTCTGTTATTTCTGCCTCCAGTATGGCTTTTGAAACTATCTTGCTCTAAAGTATTAGCATCTCCCTCAACACCGAAGTCAACAGCAAATTGAGGGAAGCCTAGAGGAAGCATTAATGACACTGAGCCCAGTCAAATGCACCACAGAGCACGGGCTTTCAGTCTGTCACTCAGATTGGACAGAAGTGGAACAAGGTGTGAGAAGATGTAATAGTAAGTGCAGGTAAGCCACAGATGAAGCACCATGCTTCAGTTACTCTAAGGCAGCTTGCCTGTGTGTTGTCCTCCTCCTTTACTAAGTGAAGGAGTGGTTTTCTCCTTCAGAAACCTGCACCTCTCCGGCTCAGAAAAACAATCTTGAAGTTGGGCGAGTCTGAGAATATTCAAGGTAATCACCAAAAGCAACCTAACCATCCTGAGCCAATGATCAGAAAACTGATCTAATTAACACAGCACAGAGAAGATGATAGATACGTACCGGTAAATTCAATTTAATTGCATCAACAGGTTGGTAGAAAGGCCAAGCAAACTGATGTTTCCATAAGGTCTTTACAACAACATTTTGCATATATTGCAGTTGGTTGGTCTTCCGGCCAGGCTTATTAGGATTAGTGACCTCTGGAGGTGGTGGATTCACAGGGCCCTGAGGAGCCTGAATTGCTGAAGTGACTGCCGACATTTTCCTGCTCGTGCTCTCACTCGCTGTCACAGCAGCAGCAACTGGGAGATTCTCCTTCTTCCTTTATGCTCCCCGAATGGGACTGACATCCCATTTCCAGGGTCCAACCATGCAACCTAAAGCAAATGAGGGGAAGAGGACAACATGTAAATGTTGATATTTATTTCAAGTAGGCATGTCCAAACACTACCGATAGTAGAAATGCCTTAACTCAGGCTACTTACCCCATCTGCTTCATTTTCCATAACAAACTTTGTTACCTGGATGATGAACGTAGCTCAAGACACAAAAGAGAGCGGGAACAGCAATTCCCAAATTCAAAGCCTGCACAAAGTCAGTGAGCTTCACCTAGCTCAGAGAGCATCTTTGTGCAAGGGCAGCGTAAGAACACAGCTGGGATGTAATGCAGAGACTCCCACAAATGTGCTGACTCAAGCTAGTAAATCCATAGCAGGCAGCTCTGGGTAAACACAGCCGTGCTGCCTCTAGACCCGTGCTGCTGGCACTGAGCCTGCTTGCACATCCCCATGCTGGTGCAATGGTGAGCCTGACATCTCAGAATCAAGAGCTGGCAGCTACAGCTGTCAGAGGATCCCCTTCAAGAGAAGAGAACAGGCCTGCAGGGAGCGCCAGGATCAGCTGCAAATGAAAGGAGTCACCAGAAACATCCTAACTGGAAGCTATCTGCATACTGAATAGCAAATGTCTTAACTGTGCCTATTACTACAGCCCCTTGTCTTGGCCCCAGTTTTATATGGAATTCTCAAGATACAGGCTCAATGTAAATCATTAGTGTTATACTTACATTGCTCCCCATGGCTAAAAGAGCAGAGTCATGAACACTCAAGGAGATGCATGAAATATGGAAGAATACATAAATTGCATTATTTTATTCTATTTTTCCCTAGCAAACTCCAGGGGAAAAAAAAAAGATTGGTCTAGTATCACTGCTTCTTGTATACCATATGGTAAACAGCTCTGCTGTGTCATCTTCCACAAACATTTGATATTTCAATTCACATCAGAACTGCAGCTACCCTTCTTCTGGCAAACAGACCACAACTACTTTCTAGAGGCAAATTATTTGAAATATGCTCAGAAAACCACAGATATACTCTCACTGACATATGCTTCTTTCTCACACAGAGATGTGAACTGAGATGGAAACTGCAGTAATGCAGAAAGAAGGAGAGCACACGAAGACATCTGAGAAAAACAACTCTTCCTTGATACAATCCTAATCACCTCTGCTAAATATCTGGACTAAATATAGAACATCACCTTACCCTTTGAGTCACTGATTAGATGACAGCAAGAAGTAAACAGGTACCTAATTTAGGGGAATCTTACAAAAATAGATGTGTACAAACAAACAGATCTGCAACAGAGAGGGATGCTGAAGTGCCCATCTTCCCAGGCTTGTCCAAGAAGCAGAGCTATGTGCACTCAGGTACCCAACAGCTCTGTAACCAGGACAGCACTCTGGAACCTGGCAGCTCTGTGACACAAGGACTGCTTCTCTGGGTGCCCAGCAGCTGCAGGCAGCCTTTTAACCCTTCCTCCATCACATTCCTTATTGTTTGCAGGGGAAGCTGCCCTGATGTCAGATCATTCCTTTTAGTTTCAACGTAACACTTAAAGAAACAAACAAACAAAAAGCAGGATTAGGAGAAATCTGAAGTGCAAATTCTTTGGAAATACCACACTTCCTAACAGCGCACTACAATGAATTCAGATAGGGAATGGCTTTGCATGAGACATCTCCTAGCTGTCAGATCTCACTTATTAAATGAGGAAAGGCATGACCTGCTCACCTTCTCATACAAATCATCCAATGTGTCGCTTTAAATAGACTCACTCATAAAAAAAAAAAAAAACAAGGAAACAAATGGTTTTCTACCATTACAGGTAGAATTAAAAACAAACAGCTCCGGTCTAAGCACTCCAGCATCTTTACACTCTGCATTAGCATCAATAGTGATTTAAACTCCAAGAGAGCCCAGTTATGAACCAGTTCAACATTGCACAAAGTACTGCACAGACCTGGAAAGAAGACTGCCAAAACCACTCTCTGCACAGACATCACTTGCATCTTCCAGTGAGGGTCTAAGATGGGGCTTTTTTGCCCTGGAGAAATAACTTAAATATAAGTTACTACTTAGCCTGTTCTACAGGCCTTCAATGTTCAAGTGACAGAAGCTGTTCTTCACTTCTCTGGCTGCACAACTACACTTTTAGTATTACAGATTTGAAGTACAACCTCATGCTATCATAAATGAAGAGCATACACTGCTTCCATATTGTGAATTTCTCCTTATTCTTATCCATCTCAGAGATGATAATTAAAAGCAAAACTCAAACCCTCCAACAAATACTGCATCTCTGGAGTTCTCAAGCCTGTCCCTTTCTGCTAAGCTGCAGTCTCAAAGCTGCCAGGTTTAGCTTGTCCTTCAGTCATCAGAAAACACAGCTAGGTTGGAAGGTTGGTTTTCTGTTTGTTTTTAAACTTTGAGTTGCTTGCATTGGTCAGTCAGTGTAGAGACAGCTGGCATGAAAAAAAAACACAACAATAATTCCCTTTCCTAGTAGGCTAACGTTTTGCTCAGCTGATGCAGCCCACAGGCTGTCTGCAGTGGTGGAGGCTATTTTAAAAGAAGCCATAAAGCCCCATGAAATGCACACTGTGCCAGTGAGCCTGCTGCTTCAGCTAACGGTTCTGCCACTTCCTTTGGCAATGCAGAACATTTAATGGATGGCTCATTCCCTTGCTGCTGTTCCTGCAGCACAGGGTACTATTTGTTATGATTGCAAAATTAGAAGGTAGCAAGCTTTATGTTATCATGCCAGCCTGACAACTCTTTATGTCATGTAATGTTTCTGCACGGTTACTTGGACACTGACCAAAACCTGGAGTGATTCCAGCCCAGCCAGAAGCAGTGACAAATCTTCCCACCAGGGAAAATTATCAAGTTGAAGAGATGTTCCTTAACCTCATCTTTATCTACACGTCGCTATTTACATTTTGGTGGCACAGAGGCCGTGCAGACCAGGGCCCTCAGCACTCTGCAGACATGCAGCGAGACTCTGCTCCTACCTCGAGGAGCTGCTGCTCTCTGCACGCTGCTCTGATGAGGGCTGCAGCAGAGCCCCAAAGCACAGGTTGCAGGTTTTGTCAGCCAGAGAAGCATCATCAGTGTGGAAGGCAGAACCAGAGGCTTTCTGAAGGCAGGACCACGATCAAGCAGCCGGCAGTGGGAGCAGGCACTGCTCTCTGCAGCTCCAAGCATCTCTCCCCACCCAGGCTCTGTGCAGCAACCAGAGCAGATGCTTGCTCCCTTTCCCCAGGCAGCAGCAATAGCTGAAAAGTTGGTCAGATTTGCCACCATATGCTATTCTCCATCTCAGAGAAGCAGCAGGCACATGCTTGTGTTGCCCAGGCTTTCTTCCAGCCGTGGGAGAGCTTTAGCACACTCCTACTACTTCTGAGGTGCAGAAATTAGAAATTAGTGTTCTGGGAAAGATTGCCAGCAGATCAGATTCCCACAGACACAAGTTCCAAGACAGACACACACAGGTATTTGGTAATAAAACATGGAACAGGCAGGGAGCAGAACTGCCTTTCCAGCCTTTCCTGAGTTGCCTAATTGAAGAGTAAGATCCCTTTTCTTGCTGCCACTGTGATTACATACACATTACTCAGTGCATGATAGCAGGAAGATGTTGGATGGCAGAGAACTGAAAGCACAGAGCATTAAATTTTAACAGCAGCCAGACAAAGTTTAGAAGAGGCAGCATGTGAATTCGGTTTACTTGAGAGCCCAGAAATCACACGGGGGTAAATGAAACACCATCCAAAAACTGGAAACTTTTATCTCAAGTGCCTGGTGGCAATTGTGTTCCTACCCAGAAATCTTTTTCCTTTTTAAAGGTAGTAAATTCCACTGCCTTTAAAATGAATGATCTCAAGAAAGGAAATGCAGGTACAGAGCCTTACTATTATTACACAGCCCACAGAGTCCCCAAAGCAACCAAGTCCCAGATCCAGGCAGCTTTGTATTCCCAGGAATGATTTTCATTGATTTTGAAGACAATTATATCACCACTCATTGTAGTACATAAACTGTATGGTCCAAAAACTCTACCTGTCAAAACAGATCAGACTGTGAAGTCATTCGCAGCCATTTCATGTCTATGGCTTTAGAAAGCAGGAATACACTACCACTCCTTCAGGCTGCCCAAACGAAAACAGAGCTGGTGCTTGCCCTCTTCTTCCTCCCACTCTGCTTTCCTTCACAGCCCTGTCTAGGAATCGAGCTTCAGGCAGCTTTCACTGCCTACTAACTCCATGTCAGCAGGGCTGTTCTCTTTGAAAGCAAAGGGATCTGCAATCTGAGACCAAGACTTGAGGGCAGACAAGCTGCTTTATCAGCCAACGCTTCCTTGGCAGACAAATGCTTGCTGCACACAGCGTGCCACCCCCTCAGGACCGGGGATGAAGCATTTGCACCTGGCCTCAATGCAGGAAATGGGAATTTGGCTTGAGTGCTCCCATAGCACGCTGCAGCTATTCAGCCGTCCCTGTTATCTCCTATATTGTTAATTCCACATATCAAAGTTTTTTTTTTTTTGTATACCATTTTGAGCACAGCCCCAGTAACATCCTGAAACTCAAAGATGAAACTGCGCCCTCAACTTACCTCTGTGTGAGGGAGGGAGAAAGAACAGCAGATGAACCCAGTTCCTTAGCTTTTGACTCGGTTAGTTTGATGTTCATCAGATTACACAAATGGATTTCCCACCCTTGGTCTCTCCTTGGCTATTATAAGAGCAGGTGCTTCCTCAGTCAGGAGCCTGTCCATTCCTAACCAGTAGATAAGAGTTAGCCAGGGGTGTAACTAGCAATTTCCAGGGCTTTCGGCTCCTATACACACTCAGCACACCCCACAAACAAGGTTACTTAAAGATGGCTTACATCATGCTTGAAAAATCAGGGAAACCCAAGAGTTACTTTATCCAGAAAGTACTGTGGTCTACAAGCACTTTGCTGGATAGCCCAAATAAAACGATGGCCCTTCTGATAATTACAGGCTGAAGCATTTCTCCCCACTGAGCTGCT